TCATGAAGAAAAGGGATGTTACCAAGGCCAAGGAGAGCCCCAGAACAAAGGCAGACCTGGTTCCCACACTGCCCTCTGGGTCAAGACCAGGAGTCGGGTAAGCCAGGGGTATAGCAGGAGCAAACAGATGGCCAACGACACGGGCAGAGGGGCCTTCACTGGGTAAACACAGCCCTCGGCCTCCCAAGATTCTGGCAGAAATGTGGTTTCCTCACCTGTGAAAGGAGGGAGAAGCAGTGCAGGCGCTGGAGTGCAGGAAGAGGCAGCCCATGCAATCATTTGATGCACTGTAAAACACCACCCCTGTGAGATGCTGTTACCCCAGGGGCCCTGGAACTCAGCTCCCTGGTTTGGGAGAAAAGGGCCCTGGAGCTTAGATATCTCTAGCGCATGTAAGAGATACCAGAGAGAGAAAACAAGGCTTTCTGAGAGGTTATGAGACACCTGGGGGCCAGGCAGCCTCACTTTGTTGTCTAGAACTCAGGTGAAGCCAGGCTTGGAGGTGAGAGGAATGAAGACATTTGCCAGGTAGGAGAGGGTGTGGCGGGCTACAGAGAGGTATCCTGCTCAAGGAGGTGCTGTTTGTTAGCCAGTCCTGCCCACCCGGGCCAGCCTCACAGTCCATACTGGACCCTTTACAGGACAGGGTGAGGAAATGCCTGTTGGAAAGTTCCTGGAAAAGTTCCAGCCAAGGTTAGTTATCTCTTCAACAAGAGATGGGCCCGCCTTGATTCTAGGGTCCCAGAACGGAGCTGAGGCTGGCTGTGGTCCCTTCACCTCCTCAACACCTCCTCCCCCACATACACACTCACATAGGCAGCTGGGCCCAGCTGAGGAGGAAGGGGAGGCAGTCCCAAACCTCCCTACTAGGAGCCAGCACCAAAGCTCAGGGTTTCCCCAATTGCACCCTAGAGAAGGCCACCTTCTTCTTCCCATCTCCAAGGAGATGCCTGCCTGGCGTGGGAGCCTTTCCTTTCCTCCACCCCTTCTAACACCAGATCTGACTTCCCAGATGGCAACTCCTTCATTAATAACTCACTCGCTAATGTTGTAGAAGCTGATGGGGGGCATGAGTCATCCACCCAGCCGGCCTTCTCCCCAACTGAGTCACACAGTGCCCACAACCTCAGAGCCTTGTGTAGTATCACAGCACCAGAGTGCCTCAGCTCTGGGTCACTCTCCTGGACTTACTCCTGAGTGGACGCACATGTACCACCTCCTGGCCCCGCCAGCCACGGCCCAGGTGCCTTCATGCCACAGCCCCCTCCCCTCCAGCTGCCATGTCCTTTGTTCCTCGGTCCACAAAGCACCACCCTCCACCGGGCACTGAGTCCTGTGTGTTCTCCTGTTGCCCTCAAACCCCTAACTGAACCCCAGTTCCCCCATCTCTGACCTCAACTGGCTCTCCTTGGAGAAACAGATCTAAACTCCAGAGAGGAGTTTAAAAAACAAACCACTCTTTTGTTTTCTAAGGTGACGGCTTCTTTTTACAGAAAAGGGCCTTGGACACAAACACCCAAAAAACCAACCAAGAACTCAATTTGCAAGGCAGTAGTGCATCTAGAAATGGATGCTTTGTGTTTGCCCTTCATTTGAAACTTCCCCATTTTGACGAGCCCAGGCAGGAAGGCAGGGTGGGGGGAAGACTAGGGGACAGGTTACGGGAGGGCAAACCCCACCCTGTTTGCACTCCCCGGAAGCTTCATCTCCACCCCGCCCCCCAACCCCACCACCATGGGCATCAATGGCTGGCAAAACTGTGTTCTAACCTGGGCTGCCTGCCTCTCTTCCCTAGGACTAGCAAGCCCATAGAAAAGCCGTGGTCATTGTCATTCTCTCTGTTCCTCACCCCTTGAGGTTTAACAGGGGCAGAGCGTGGAGGTGGATGGGCTGAATTTGGGAAACGGAGCAGTGAGAGGCCTGGGAATCCAGGCAGTATGTACAAGGGTTATAGCTGGGACTCTGAAGTCTACCTCCCTGGGTAGGTTAAGGCAAGTTACTTAACCTCTCCATGCCTCAATTTCTCTATCTGAAAAATGGGGATGATAACCTACTCTCTGATTACTGTGATGTCTAAACAAGCTAATTAACATACGTAAAGTTCTGTGTGTGCCTGGCACACAGTAAGCTCTGTAAGTTGTGGTTGATGATCTTCCTCCTCTTTGGCCTTAATTAGCTGTCTTTTCAGACCTGTCAGCGGCTTTGGGCAAGGATACATGTGGCCAGAAGCTGTGGCAGCCAAGGTGCTGTTAATCAGATCCTGTGCCTGGGGAGCTGCTCTTCACACCCCACTAGCACAGAAAGCACTTCCAGCGGCCACACCTCTAGAGCCAGCATCCTGGCTGCCACCACTAAGACACACACTCCACAATCAAGCTGTGATTCTGTTAAGTTTTCAAGGCCACAGCAGCCATCTAACAAGGTATTATCCCACCTCATGCCCCGCAAAAGTGGTGAGTCGGCCCCCTCGCCAATCCCTCCACCTTGAAGAACTGCTGAAATTGGCACTCACTACCCTTTTGCAAGGCCGACATTCCTGGAAGGCTCCGTCATCAAATGTCTACACTCCTCCGTCTGCCCTCGTCCTTTCTTTTGAGTCCAGGGGCCTTGGCAGTGAGGGGCTCCCGGGCAGACCATTCCCCTCTACAAATGTCCATTAGTCTCTCCAGGTCAGCCAAGGCTGCAAGCTTCCCCGGGCAGGGCATACAATACCCCTTCCCACCTAGAGACACCTCTTTCCCCCCAGGCACCCCTTGGGCTTGCAGCAGGGCATACAATGTCCCTTCCCCCCTTGGCACTCCTCCCCCAGCACTCCCTGCACACACCAGGGTCCCCTTCATGCCTCTAACCTGAGTGCACTTGCCCATCATCTGTATCTGGCACGCTCCTGTTCATCCTTTACAGTCCATCTCAGAAAGCCTCACTTCTGCCAGCCCGAAACCCAAGCTCCTCAGACAGAACAAACAGCATCCTTCCTCATGTTCCCAAAGCTCTCTGCACCAAACACCACCAAAGCATCCCAACCTATCACAGTTGCCTGTCTCACCTCTCCATTCCCCCCAAGACAGTACCCTGTACCTGTGCACCTCCAGTGCCCAGCACAGCACAGGCACCCAGGGTGCTCAGAGAAGCTGTGAGATGCCTGCTTTTAAACCCCAGCTATGCCGTGCTGCACAAGCCCTCCTGCCTGGGCCGACCCCATACCTCTTCCCTGAAAAAAAATCCCGTTGCTGTCGAGTCGATTCCGACTCATAGCTTCCCTGAAGGCGGTGACTATTCCTTCCCTGGGCAGCAGTGACAGAGAAGCAAGAACAAACCACTCCCTGGGTGGCAGGGTAAAGGTTGGGGAGGTGTCCTCTTTCCGACATGCCTCTCTAGAACTCTGCACACCTACACTTCTGAAACCAGAGCATTCCCCCTCCCGCTTGCCTCCCTACTCCATGATCAGAACAGGCAGACCCACTCATCAACTCCCAGTGGACTCTAGGGGCCCTGGCTGAGGGTCTGCCCCAAGATGGCATGGACCCAGGTCCCAGAGAGCCCTCTCCTTCACAGAGACAGACATGCATCCCAATGGGTGGAGACGGAATGTGCAAAAACCACTTCCTTCTCCCGAATCTCTATCCTAGAGAGAGAGGCCAGATGAGGTGCCACCAAGAGTGAAGCTTGAGCAAGCAGATAAGACACTTCAGGAAGGGCAGGCAAGCCTGACAATGGCAGAAGTCTGGGTTGGATTAAGCAGCTGCCTGGGGGTGGGGGGTTCTGTGCTGGGTCCCCATGCACTCCTTACCCTCCTCCCCAGGCCTGCCAGATTAAGGCCAATCCAATCGCAGAAGCCCGGGCCCAAACCCAAAGCCAACTTTACAGATGCTTTAACGGTGTTCTCAAGGCCATCCCTTCCCTGCCATCACCACTCTCCCATCACTGGCTGGCACATTCATATTTGTTGAGTTAATGAAGAGATGAACCTCTGCCAGCCCAGCCACTTGGTGGCTGAGAGCTTCAGCCCTCTTCCAGGGTCCTCAGAGCCATTAGCCATTCTACTAACTTTTAGCAGCAGCGATTACTTGCACATAATTTCAAACCATCTAGGACAGGAACTGAAAAGGTCTGGCAGGAGCCCGCTCTGGCCACGCTTGGCTAACCATCGGCTCTGAATAGTTACAAGGGAACATCACAAGCCGGCAGGTGTCGTGGGGGAAAGTGCCCAGAGCAGATTCCAAGGTCTGCGTCCAGGTTTGGGTCCCGGATCTGACTCTGAAGGAAGGGTGTGACCTTGAGTCTCTCCTTCCCAGAGATTTTCTCATCCCTGGGGGCGGTGTCCAAGTCCTCACCCATCCATCCCAGCGCTCCCCGCACACTTGCCAGTCCGGAGCCAGACGCCCCACCGCCAACGCGGCGTGACGGCGGGCCCACAAGCCAGCAGCAAAATCCGAGGCCCACGTGGAGAGGACGCAACAAAGGCTTCTCCCGTCTATTTATAAGGAGGACTGCTCTCGCAACAGAAAAGAATGGAAGAGCCGCGCGCGGACTCCCTCCTCTTCCACTCCCGGGACCTCAGTGGAGGGCGGGCTCCCAAGGGTGGAAGCCCCTCCGGCGGCGACTGGAACTCAGGAACTCAGCCCTTCTCCCCGCTCCAGGGAGGGGAACCCAAGCAGACGACAGACGTGGGTGAAGGGCGGCCTCGGAGGAGACCACGTCGAGTGCCGAGAGCCGCGAGGCTCTGACCGGAGGGTCACGCCGGCTGCTAGCCGCGGGGGCCCATGGTGCGCTTGGGGCAGGGGGAGCACCTTGCAGCCAGCATCTCCCCTCCCCCCGCCTCGGTTCCCACCCAAAGGCGCAGGGGTTCCGAGGCCAGGCCTAGGAGGGCTGGACCTGGAGGGCGGGCACGGAGCACTGTGGCCGGGGGTAGACGGGGGATCCTGAACTTAAGCGTAGCTCAGATCACTGAGGTAGCGCAGAAGCGCGGGGACGCCAGAGGGGGCGGCGAACTCACTCACCTGCCGCGGCGGGAGGCGGGGGACGCAAACGCCGAGATGGAGGCAGAGTCTCCAAAGCGCGGAGACAGCACAGCACACGGCCGCCGCTCCGCCAACTTCCTTTATCTCTACCCGCACACCCCGGCCCGCCTCGGGCCAGCCAGCCACTCCTGGCCCCACCCCCGGCCCGCCTACAGCTTCTTACTTCTTGCCTGCGGGTTTGTTAGAGACACCGGAAGAAAATTCACCTGGGGGGAATCCGAGGGAGCCCCCAGGACTTTGGCGCCCGCGCTACTCCCCAAAGCCGGTGCGCCCTGCCTGCGACGAGAGCTTGGGGAGGGCCTCTGACTGCGGCCTAGCAGATAAGACGATAGTACAGTAAGAATGGCATTGGCTTTATTTAACATGTCAGGGTCTGCACCCTCAGTTGTCCCTGTGAAAATAGTCATCCGAGAAGGCTGGCTACTTATTCCAGCGATGCAGGGGTAATTCCAAATGTTCTGGCCTCTTGTGGAGCTGCTTTCAGAATCTTCCCAGGCTGTTTTTGGAATAGCCTCGGGAGTGGCAATTCTCAGTCCTCAGGGAACCAAGAAGGATGGAAAATGTGAGTAAAACGCTCCGAGTCAAAGATAAACAATTCGAGCAAGCCACTCAGCAGTCCCTGGGCCAGAACAGGCCGCATCACTGCCCCAGTAGAGGGTGGGGCGGCTCACCCCAACGGGGAAACACGTGAGGCGAACAAAAACGAAACAGAAACAGCGAAGTAGGTTCCTGTTAAAGATGAAAAAGCAAATAGGACCAAGGAAGTTCAACTGAACATAGGAATAGAAACTGACTTAAAAAAAAAAAAAGGACTAGAAGGAAATATAACCAAAAATCATCATATGGTAACAGTAAAATAATAAAATATTTTTTTTTATATTTTCCAATTTTTCTCAAATGACTGTGGTCGTATAAAAACTATTATAATAAAAATTAAATAATGGAATAGTTTGTGAAATTTAGGCGGCATTATTTATAATTCAAGTCCATCTAGAGGCACCTTGGAAGACAGGCCCTGTGATCTACTTCTGATAAATCAGCCATTGAAAACCCTATGCAACACAGTTCTACTCTGATACACATGAATTGGAATTGACTCCATAGGTACCTGGTTTATCTATCTTTTAAGTTACTTTCTTTATCAGAGTTGCATATCCAAGTGATTAAAGTATAAATAACAAGTAATATTTTTAAATGGGCTTGCTGCTGAGGTTCCTGGCAGTCAGAGCAAAAAAACCAACCAAACAAACAAAATGATTAATTTCACAATTCTAGAAAGAAAGGATGGAGCAAACCAATTTCCACTTCAAGGGAGTCATACTTTATTTTCCGTTTAACTTTAAATGAAATTTCTGATTTTTACATGTGACTTAAATCGGCTCTCTTCAGAGCAGAGCCAGTAAGAACAATCTAGGCTTTTAGAGCAAAAGCAGTTCATTAGAATAAATATAGTTCCTCCCATGGTGACTGGTGTGAAGGGAACAATACTCATTTGGATGTCTGAGATCACAGTACAAATGATTACCTCAGTGGCCTCAGCTCAAACACCCTCTACCCGTAAAGGAAGTCACTTCTGGCACCAAAGTTCTTCTGCCATAAGTGCACTTTAGCACTGTATGTGAGTACAGCCAGGCCAAAGCATATTCCGTGCTCCCAGGCTCTCACTGCATGTTCTTGTTAACTAATCAGTTGCTGTCGAGTTGACTCCGACACATGGCAACCCCGTGTGTGTCAGAGTAGAACTGTGCTCCATAGGGTTTTCAGTGGCTGACTTCAGAAGTAGATCACTAAGCCTTTCTTCTGAGGCACCTGTGGGTAGACTTGAATCTCCAACCTTTTCCGTTGCAGTGAATGTGTGAACAAGAAAAACATCTGACGCTGGTTAAGTGCTGTGCAAAAGACTACACAGGATGCTACAGGGTGAGGGACTGGGGGTTACTGAGACTGGGCCGTCTGAAGAGGTGATATTTAAGTTGATGACTAAAAATCAAAAAGGGACCACACATGAAAACAGGAGGAAGAGCAGTCAGGACACAGGGAAGGGCCACTGCAAGGATCCTGAGTTGGAGGAGCTCTGTGCACAGTGGGTAAGGGAAAGATGGTACGGGTTGAAGGCAGGAAGGCTTGGGGAGCCTGGTGGAAGAGTTGGGATTTTATCCTGAGCACCATGGGAGCCACTTACTCTGTTATGCAGGGGAGGCCTACACCAGTGGCCCCCAAATTCTTTGCATCTTCTATTTAGCTTTTTGCTCAAGCATTTCTCTCAAGTATTTCTTAGTGTTAGAGTAGCTTCTCCCCACCCCAGTACCCCAGTTCTAACTTGCTTTTTCTATTATGCTTTGGGCTTCAAAATCTGTCAGCATTTGTAAATTAAGAGAGAATGATGCTTGGAAACCACTGAAATGTCCATCAGCTGCTGAATGAATAGATAAAAGGTTGTGTGTACATACAATGGAATACTACTCAGCTTTAAAGAGAAATGAAGTCCTGATGCATGCCACAACAGGGATGAATCTTGAAAACATTACGTTCAGTGAAATAAGTCAGTTGCAAAAGGACAAATACTGTATGATCTCATTTCTATGAAATAAGCAAAAATATGTTGTTGTTGCTGTTGTGTGCCATGGAGTCGATTCCGACTCATAGCAACCCTATAGGCCAGAATAGAACTGCCCCATAGGGTTTCCAACGCTGTAGTCTTTATGGGAGCAGATTGCCAAATCTTTTCTTCCATGGACTGGAGCGACTGGTGGGTTTGAACCACTGATGTTTTGGTTAGCAGCCAAGCGCTTAACCATTGCACCACCAGGGCTCCTTAAAGCAAATATAGAGAAACCAAAACTTAATAGTGATTAGCAGGGGTAGGAGTAAGGGGGAAGGGGGGAGTTTTTACTTTGGAGGCAGTGAATTTATGTTAATAGTGGTAGAATAATTGGAAAAAGGATAGTGAAAATGGTTGCAAAACATGAAAAATGTAATCAGTGACACTGAATTATACATGTAGACATTGTTGAATTGGTGTAGTTTTGCTGTGAATATTTTCACCACAATTTTAAAAAGAGAGAAAGAGAATGATGCTTCTTGTAAAGGCAAAACTATAGGGTCAGAGCACAGATCAGTGGTTGCCAGGACTGTGAGTGGTGAAAGAGGTTGACTATGATGGGGCAAAGGGGAATTTTGGGGGGTGATAGAATTCTATATCTTTGTTGTGGTGGTAGGAGCCCTGGTGGTGTAGTGGTTAAGCACTCAGTTGCTCACCAGAAGGTTGGCAGTTCGAATCCACCAGCAGCTCCTTGGAAACCCTATGGGGCAGTTCTACTCTGTCCTGTAGAGCTGCTATGAGTCAGAATCGACTCGATGGGTATCGTGTTGGTTGTTACATGAACTTAAAACTCTTTGAACTGCACACTTTTTAGGGTGAATTTTACTGTATGTAAATTATACCTAAATTAAAAAATAAAACAATAATACAAATAAATAAGAGAGAATGATGCTCTTATTAATGAAAACAAAACACAAGATCCAGCAAGGTTTTAACTGGAAGGGTGTATGTGTAGCTGGCTGAGCAAACAGTCCAAATCTGACCTCAGTTTCACTTTTCCTTGAGGGTTTCTCTCTGCTTCCAGCTCTGCCTGTGAAACCCTGGCCCCCGTAGTAGTTCCTCTTATGGGAAAACAGCTGGGCTTTTCAGAAGCATCTTTAAGGAACCCAGTTTCTAAAAGCCCACATGTCTTAGTTTCTTAGGCTGCCGTAACAAAGTACCACAAACTGGGTGGCTTAAATTAGCAGAAATTTTATTCTTACAATTCTGGAGGCTGGAAGTCCAAAATCAAGGACCAATGTCCCTCCAAAGGATCTAGAGATTGCTTCCTTGCTTCTTCCAGATTCTGGTAACCCCAGGTGTCCTTTAGTTTGTGGTAGCATAACTCCAATTCCTGCCTCGGCTTCACAGGGCTGTTTCCCACTGTCTGTGTCTCTTCTCCTGTCTTATAAGGACACCATTAACCCATTGCCGTCGAGCGATTCCGGCTTGTAACAACCCTACAGGACAGAGCAGAACTGCCCCATAGGGCTTCCAAGGCTGTAATCTTTATGGAAGCTGACTGCCACATCTTCTTCCCACAGAGTGGCTGGTGGGTTCGAACTGCTGACCTTTTGGTTAGCAGCCAAGCACTTTATCCACTGCACCAGCAGGCCTCCTTAGAAGAACACCAGTCATATTGAATTAGGGCCCATTTACTCCAGTATGTTAACTTGATTACATTCGCAAAGACACAGGGGTTCGGACTTGACTGTCACCTCACCAGGTGACCTTCCTCTCCTGGTCCCAGGAGGTCTCACCCTATCCTGTCCTATGGGCAAAGGCAAGGGTTCCTTCTTTAGGAAAATTCAAATCTTCCCCTCCTTCTCAGGTCTGGGTCCCTCAAGACCCTCTCCATAGGCTTTTTCTGACAGGACTAGAACACAGCCAACTTTAGGGGAGCCATGTTGGGCTTCCCTGAACTCCCCGCTTTTCCAGGGTCTGGCCCTGGGCCTCCAGACTCACCCGAGACCCAAGGCAGGCTTGCAGGAAAACAGCACCTGAGCTAGGATTTCTCCAGCCTCGGACTCCTGCACCAGAGTGGGGCCCAGAGACCGGCAGGAGGTCACCACCCACCAGGCAAAGGGTAGGGCTGGTGACAGCTCTTCCGAACTCCCTGTATATACATTCTTTCATGTTCAAGGCTGGGTTTGGCAGATGGAGGTTAGAACGTCTGACAACCGGAGCCTAAGGGTCCTATGTGAGGACAGCTCAGGGGCTGAAAATCGGTTTGGGAAAGATGAACCAAATGACACCCAGCTCCCTCATGTGGAATCCAAGAGGGAGGCCAACCGACCCTCCAAAAAGGCACGTCTTCAAGGATCTTAAAAAGCCCTGTTGGCATACACTTCCTGCTGGAGCTTTGATTCATGCTAAAACACAGGTGTCTAAGGACATATTAAGTTTGTTTTAAAAGTCATTTATTTATGCTTTAGAGTGGAAATTTTAATATTTTTCTTTTCGCTTATTCTTGTTTTTTAAAATCTCAACTGCAGTGGATTGGATGAATCATATACTCCACATCAGTCCGTATAAGCCCC